GCATCAGACTTTAATTATAGCTTCGTTTTAATATTTCTTACTGTTTCATTGCATTGTTGTTTTCTGTTTGCCTATTATAATTTTTTGTGCATTTAGTTCTGGAACATGGGAAAGATAAGGAGACAATCAAGATACTATGTTGTAGGCTAGGCCTGATTCAGGCTGCTCTGGTGCTTCAGCTCTGGAACTGGAGCAAAATGAGGCACTCGAAGACCATAAACCAGTTAATAAAAGGAGGCGTACTTTGCTGTAATGGGAAAGGATAATCAGCAAGGAAATAGCACCTCTTTTGTGGAGCACAGGTGTGCTCTGTGTTGGCCATGCTGACATGCAAGTGAAGCCTAAGAAAGAGCAACTCCTGCCATGTCGTGGGCTGCCTTTTGCACTTAAGTCAGAGGGAAGCTCTGTCAACAGCACAAACCTTAGTTTCCCAAGACAAACGCCTCAAGGACAATTTCAATATTTTTATTTTTAATGTTTTTGTTGATACCTTTTGTTTTTTACATCACCAGTTTCCTCCAGCAACCCCCAGAGAGATATTCCATAAGTACAAAAAAATGAAAACAAAGAAAAAATTAGTGTAACTGCTCAATACATTTTAAAAGTCAAAAATAGGGGTGGGGCCAAGATGGTAGAGTAAAAGCAGTGACTTGCTTGAGCTCTCCCCCATACCCTTCCAAATACCTGTAAAAAATGACCCCAAACAAATTCTAGAGCAACAGAACCCACAAAAAGATAGAGTGAAACAAATTTCCAGCCCAAGACAACCTGGATGGTTGATAGGAAAGGTTGTTGTGCAGGGCTGGGGGAGGAGTGCAGTTCAGCATGGGCCGCACAGGCAAAGACGGAGCAGGCCTCAGGAGACTGGATCATGGGCAGTTGTGGTGGTTTCCAGACTTTTCAACCCACAAACGCCAAAGACAATTTAAGAGGTCAGTGGGAAAGGTCTGTTGGACCTAGGTCAGAGAGGAGCACAGTCCAGTCGTGACCCTGGCGCAGCCTGGAGGTGGCAGTCACAGCAACAGCAGCTGCTTCTGGAGCTCTCGGCCCACAGATGATGGGATGATTGAGCGGCTGATCAGAGGGGGATTGCAGAAATCTCTTTGCTGACGCTGAGGCAGAATTTTGTCGCTTTGCACGTGCTTGGATGTGGGTCACATTCTGGGTGCTGGTCCTCGGGTAAGGAGCGCTGGCGAGGTGGAGCTTGTGGCGTGATGGGAAGAGAATCCTCCTCACACCTCCAAGGTAGAAAAGAACGCTTGTTGTCTCTCTTAGACGAGCAAAGGCCAGGAAGGAAGGGAAAAAATTTGGAACTCAAAGTTTTTAAAAAATGTTAAAAATTGTTTTTACATGCAACTGGGAAATAAGATATATAGGCAAAGGGGTATAGACATCTATGCTGCCCTACAGGAAAATAATTTTATAATTTCCTCTATCCCTTGTTTGGTTAAGTATACACATCTTATCCAAAATTATGAGAAGTATATGATCTGCTTTTCTTCTAAATTTTCATAGTATAATCTTTAATATCAGTATTAAAATTGGTCACATATTCAGTTAGACTATATTCAGGAATATGATGTAAAAGGTTGGTCTAAGCTAAATTTCTGCCAGACACTTTCCAGCTTTCCTAGCACTTTTTAAATCAAATAGGGAGGGTTTTTTCCTATGTGATTTATGTCTTCCACTTTATCACACAATGGGTTATAAAATTCCATTGTTTGTTATTCTGCATTTGTCCAGTGCATTCCATTGACCTACCTTGTTATTTTTTAACCAATACCAAATGATTTTGATGGCGGCTACTTTATAATAGAATTAGATATCTCTAAGTGCTATTTCTTCTTTGTCCCTACACCTTTTCATCATTTCCTTTGATATTCTAGATTTTTTGTTCTTCCAAATTAATATTATTATTATTTTTATCGAGTCTTATAAAATATGTGATAATTTGGTATAGCCTTAAAAGTGTATGTTAACTTTGTCTTGGATTTTTATTATATTTGTACAGCTTAGTCATAAGCAATTTCTCCAGTTTTTAAATTGTTCTTTATGTCTTTAAAGTGCACTTTATAATTGAATCTAAACAAGTCATTTGGGTGCTTTGGTGGATTGATACCTAGATACTTTATGCATCTTGTTTTTTCTTTTCTATTATTCTTCCTTGGATTTTGTTATAGAGAAATGCAATTGATTTTTGAAGGTTTAATGTATAGTCTACTAAAGCTATTGTGTTGATTAGTGTCTTAGCTAATTCCCTAGGATTTTCCAAGTATACCATCATATCATTAGCCAATAAAGGTATTTTTATTTCCTCTTCACCTATTTTTATGGTTTTAATTTCTTTCTCTTGTCTTATTACCATTGCTAGCATATTTAGAATTAAATCAGATAATAGTGGGGAGATTATCTTTGTTTTATTCCTGTTATTTGTGGGGATAAAGTTCTAGTCAGTATATTCCCACTGTAGATGATGCTTGCTTTTGATTTTAGAGATATATTTTTTGTGATATTAAAAATGGGCCCTCTTATGAAGGAGGGGACAGGAGAGTTAAGCATAAATGAGTGTTATGTTTGGTTTGGGATTTTTTTATTTTAAAACGATTGCTTACATTGACTATTTGACTAATATTGAACCATCCTTGCATCTTTGGTATAAATCTGGCTTGGTCATAAGGAATGATTTCTTGGATGAATCATTGTGGTCTGTTTGGCAGGATTTTATTTAAAATTTTTGAGTCAATATTCATTAATTATACACATATACATGTGTGTGTGTATAGATATAGATATAGATATAGATATAGATATAGATATAGATATAGATATAGATATAGATATAGATATAGATATAGATATAGATATAGATATAGATATAGATATAGATATAGATAAATATATATATTAGTTCTGTGGTCTTCCTGTGTTTTATCCTTCCCTGGTTTAGGCAGTAGGACTATATTTATCTCATAAAAGGATTCTTGTAGGGAACTTTCTAAATTTTTGAGAATAATTCGTGAAATATGGAAATAAATTGTTCTTTAAAAGTTTGGCAGAATTCTCCTGTGCATCTATAAGGAGCAGGAGATATTTTTCTTTGGTAGTACTTTTATACCTACTTCTATTTCCTTTTCTGATATTAGGTTATTTAAGAACTGTATTTGGTCTTTTGTCAGCTTGGGTATTTTATATTTGTGAAGATATTTCTCTGTCTTTTGTGTCTCAGTTTTGTTAGCACATAACTGTATAATAGATTCCAATTATGTTTTTTATTTCTTCTGGTTTTATTGTGATTTTTGCCTTGCTCCTTTGCTGTTTGTTGATTTAATTTTCTGCCCTCTTGTTTTTTAATCAGATTAGCTAACTTTTACTAGTCTTACAAAGAACAAACTTTTTATTTTATCATTTCTATAGTTTTTTTGTTTCCTGTTTGTGTATTTCTCCTCCAAATTTTAACATCTCTTCTGTTTTAGATTTGTTTATTTGTTGGCTTTCTGATTTTTGAAAAATGTATATGCAGTTTTCCTCCTTTTCTATTTTGTTAAATTACACTTTTTACAGTTATATTTTTACCCTAAGGACTGCTGTTACTGCATCCCAGAAACTTTGGTATGTGGTTTCATCATTTTGTTTTTCTTATGATTTGTTTTTTGACCCAGTCATTATTTAAGATTTCATTTTATGTCTCTGGTTGAGTCTGTGTTTTTTGTTTGTGATCTCTGAACCAATTGGTTTTTTTTTTTTTTGCATTATGGTCTATAGAAGATGCATTTATTTCTGCCTCTTATATTTGTTTGCAACATCACTGTACCCTAATAATACATGGAAATTTGTGTTAAAGCTTCACACGATATGGAGAAATATGTATATTCTTTGCAGTCCTATTTAGAAGATACACCAAGCCTTTTAGCTCTAGTTTTTGAAGCAATTTGCTCAGTGCTCTATTTTCCTTTTCATTTATTTTTCCCTTGGATTTATCCAAACTTGAGAAAGAAATCTTGAAATCCCCTGTCACTATTGTGTTACCCTCTATGTATTCTTATAGCCCAGTTATTGTTTCCTTTATGAATTTAGATGCTAAAGTACACAAGCTTAATATTGGTATTGGTTTGTTGTCTATGGTTCCCTTCAACACAATGTAGGTTCATTGTTTACCCTTTTAATTTTGTGAATGTTTGTTTTTCCACTATCTGATTACATAGTTGCCACTGCTGCTTTTTTGGATATACTTGACGCATTGTAAAATTTTTTTACACCCTCTCTTTTGTTATTATATGTATTCTTTGTTTTTTCAATGTGTTTCTTGTAAGCAACAGCTTGTAGCATTTTTTTAAAAATTCCTTATCTAATATCATACTTTTTCTTTTATAGGATTGCTAATTCATTCACATTTAAAGTTATGACAGTTAAGTTTATGTGTCTTCATTTGTCTTTAATATTGTTTTTTCCACAAAAAAATTAGGATCCCCCCCCACTTTTGATGTAAACATAATACAATGTCCCTTCAGTTATGTTAACTTAATCTACTTGAAGGCAGCCCTATTCCTACCAACTCTCTTCCCCTCACCATTGAGTCATTATCCTCCTCTCATTTGTTTCCCCTATCTCTCGTTCTGGAGTTTACTTATCACTTCTTTTTTTCTTGCCTTTACCTAGTTAGTCAATTTCCCCCTCTATTTTCCTCTCAATTAATTAGTCAAGTAGAACCTCCTTCTCCTTTCAACTTGTTTCATTCACTAGTTTTAAAATTTTTATTTTCTGAACTTTTTTTCATTTGGAGGTAGCATATTTTTCTATCTTTATTAAATTTTATCTCCTGCAACTAATAGAAATCCAATTTCGCTCACTTTTAGCCCAACCCATGGGGGTGGGGTAGGGGGGCAGCGGGCAGGAAGGAAAACAAAACCTTTGTAACAAATTATTTAGAGTCAATAAAAAGTCTCATTCTTGGTGAATTATTTTAATAGTTTTAATGTTTTTTAATCAAAACATTAGCCATGTCCAAAAAAATTTTGCTTCATTCTTCATCTGAGTCTTTCATTTCTCTTTCAGGTGGGTAACATGTTTCATCAGTTGTCCTCTGGAATCCTGTTTGTGTTTAGCGTAATATTATTCCATCACATTTATGTCATAACCTCTTCATCTATTCTCCAATTTATAGGCACTCCTTCAGATTCCTCAAAAAGAGATATAAATATTTTTGTACATTATTAGAGTTGGTTTGCTTAGGATTGACTATGCCCTCCCTTAATCTACCCTCTCTCTAATTCCCTGCTCCCTTTCTCTCCTTACCCTCCTATTTTGCAGTTGAGTGAAATGTATTTCTGCACCCAATTATGTATAGATGTATATATTCTTTCTTTTGACTTGTTCAGGTGAGTGTGAGGTACACGTATCACTAGCTCCCCCCCCCCACTCCAACTCCCTCTCCCTTGCTAGTATAGATATCTACTTATGTACTTATGTGAGGCAATTTCCTCACATAAGTATTCCTCATTTTCCTTTCCCTATTCCCCTGATCCACAAGTGTATTTCTTTCCCCTCTCTGTTCTTTTCTCAAGATCTTTAAGAAAAAACAGAATCCTTCCTAGGCTTTGTATAATTGGACTTCCTCTATGAACTATGATGATGATAGAGATCAGAGGGGATAAACGTATCATCTCTCCGTCATTGAAGGTAAGCAGTTTATTTTTGTCTGTTCCTTTGTCATTGTTCATTCATGTTTACCTTTCTGTGTTTTTCTTCTGTGTTTGAATTTCAAAATTTCTCTTAGCTCTGGTCTTTTCATTAGTAATGCTTGGAAGTCATCTATTTCATTAAATATACATTCTTTCCCTCTGTAGTATTATACTCAGTTTTGTTGGGTAAATTATTCTTAGCTGCATACCTATAGCCTTTGCCATCTGGAATATTTTATTCCAAGATCTTTGGTGCTTTAAAGTGATGGCTGTTAATTGATGTATGAACCTGGCTATGGCTCTTTGGTACTTAAATTCTATTTTAAAAAAAATTTTTATTGATGCTTTTTGTTATATCACATTAATTTCTTTCAAAAATACATAGTACATTTATTTATTTTTGCATTCATTTTTAAAAATATTGAGTTCCAAATTCTCCCTCAAGCTCCAACCCCATCCCACCCAATGAGAAGGCAAACAATATATCAATCATACAAATGAAATTATGCAAATCATATTTCTATTATTAGCCATGTTGCAAAAAAGCAAGAAAAATAAAGGGAAAAAAGTTTGCTTTAATCTTCATTCAAGAGTTCATCAATTCTCTTTCAGGAAATGGACTGCATTTTTCATAATGAGTCCTTTGGAACTGTCTTGAATCATACGGATTAGAGTAGCTAAGTCTTTCAAAGTTGATCATTATTACAATATTGCTATTTTCTGTGAACAATGTTCTCCTAGTTCTGCTCAGTACATTTTGTATCAGTTCAATTTGTATAATTTTGTATGTCTTCCAGTTTTTCTGACACCATCCCTCATCATTTCTTATAGCACAATAGTATTCCATCACAATCATATAATACAATATGTTCAGCCAGCCATTCCCGACTGATGGGCACCACCTTAATTTCTAGTTCTTTGCCATCACAAAAAAGTGCTGCTATATTTTTGTACATTTAGGTGCTTTTCCTTTTTCTTTGATCTCTTTGGGATGTAGATCTGATAGTAGGATTGATGAGTCAAAGGGTTGCTTTTTTTATAGCCTTTTGGACATAGTTCCAATTTGCTCTGCAAAATAGTTGAACCAATTGACCGCCAACCATGCATTAGTGTGCCTATTTTTCCACATACTATCAGTTTTTTTTTCATTTTCCTTTCCTGTCATGTTAGGTAAACTTATAAGTGTGAAGAGGTACCTTGGAATTGTTTTAATTTGTATTTCTCTAATCATTATTTAGAGCAATTTTCATATAAATATTGGTAGCTTTGATTTCTTCTTCTGAAACCTGCCTGTTCATATCCTTTGATCATTTATTAATTGGAGAATGACTCTTATTTTTATAAATTTGGCTCAGTTCCCTATATATTTGAGAAATGAGTCCTTTATCAGAGAATCTGCTGCAAAAATCCCACCCCTCACCAGCTTCCTGATTTTCTTCTAATTTTGACTACATTGATTTTGTCTGTGCAAAAACTTTTCAATTTCATATAATCAAAATTATCATTTTTACTTCCCATCATCCTCTCTATTTCTTATTTGGTCCTGAACTCTTCTTTATCCAAAAATCTGACAGGTAAATTTTTCCATGCTCCCTTGATATCTAAATCATATATCCATCCTGACCTTATCTTAGTGTATGTGTGAGATATTGGTCTAAGTCTAATTTCTGCCAAACTGCTTTCCAGTTTTCCCAGCAATTTTTGTCAAATAATGAGTTCTTGATCCAAAAGCTTGAGAATTTGGGTTTATTAAACACTAGATTACTATAGTCATTTACTATTGTATCATTGAGTACCTAATCTATTTCACTGATTCATCACTCTATTTCTTCAGTCCCAGATTGCTTTGTTGATCACCACTTTGTAATATAGTTGGAAATCTGGTACTGCTAGATTGCCTTCCTTCACATTTTTCATTGATTCCCTCGATGCTCTTGACCTTATTCTTCCAGATTAATTTTGTTATTATTTTTATAGTTCTATATTTTGAATTGCTTATATTTGTCTTTATTTGTATAAAAAGTGTTTGGTAATTGTGTTCATATAGTTCCTAGGTCTGTCTTGGTAGATAGACCCCCAAGTATTTTATGTTGTTTGTAGCTATTTTAAATAGAAATTTTTCTATCTCCTACTGATGGGTTTTATTGGTACTATATTAAAATGCTGATGATTTTATATACTGCAACTTTGCTGAAGTTAATTGTTTCAACCAAATTTTTAGTTGATGCTCTAGGGTTCTGTAACTATGTTATCATATTGTCTACAAAGAATGACATAGTTATCTCTTCCACATCATGATTTCCCCACTGAAAATAATAGATTGCCTACTGGACATGTAAATCTCAGAAATACCTAGTTTCAAAACTCATCTCTGACACTACTTACGTAACCTCAGATAAGTTACTTAACTGAGCCTGTATCTGAATTTTTTCATCTGCAAAATGAGAAAATTTGGACTTAATGGTTATAAGGTCTCTTCCAGGTCTAAATCTATGATCCTATAAGATCAGGCTAAATATTGAAAATAGCACAAATAAATTGTATACTTAAAGGACCAGTCCTTCAACTATTAAGGTGACAGAGAACACGAACCATGGTGGATAGTCATCAAGCAGAACAGCATTATTTGAGATAAGAGACAGTGGCTGATGGAGACCAGATCCTCGAAAAAAGATTCAACATATTGTCTATGACTCCCTTATGGTTACTCCACCTTTACATAAACAATGGCAACTTTTGTTTTTATGTATCCTAGTGGAACCCTCTAATTCAGGGAAAAGCTTTTTTTATGGAAAAAATTACTAGAAGACAGCAATAATTGGTGCTACAGTGGCTGGAAGCTAATATACAGGGAGTTGAAAAGGCATATTTCCCAACAGACAAGTTTATGGACAGCATCCTCACCACTTTTTTTAGTCATGCAAAACATCCAAAATAGTCACATTGTGAAAGAAAACATAGAGTAGAAAAAAAAAACTCAAGAAAAATGAAGAAAGTTTAAAAAAAGTATGCTTCAATCTGTATTCAGATACCATCAGTTCTTTCTCTGGAGATGGATAGCATTTTTCATCATAAATCCTTCAGAGTTGTCTTGGATCGTTGCATTGCTGAGAATAGCTAAATCATTCACGGCTAATCAATTTACAATATTGCTCTTACTTTATACACAGTACATTTCACTTGGCATCAGGTAATGCAAGTCTTTCCAGGTTTTTCTGAGAGCATCCTATTCATCATTTCTCATAGTACAATAGTATTCCATCATAATCACGCACCATAACTTGTTCAGCCATTCCCCAATTGATAGACATCCCCTCAACTTCTAATTCTTTACCCCAGAAAAGAACTACTATAAATATTTTTGTACATATACTTCCTTTTTCTTTTTGTTTTTTCTCTTTTGGGATAGAGACTTAGTAGTGATATCGCTAGGTCAAAGGGTATGCTTTTTATAGCCCTTTGGGCATAGTTCCAAATTGCTCTACAGAATGGTTGAGCCAGCTAGTTCATAACTTCACCAACAGTACATTAAAGTCTCATTTTTCCCACAACCCCTCCAACATTTGTCATTTATTTTTTCTGTCTTAGCCAATCTAATAAGTATAAGGTAGTACCTCAGAATTGTTTTAATTTGCATTTCTCCAATCAATAGTGAGTTAGACTATTTTTTTCATATGGCTATAGATAGCTTTGATTACTTTCATCTGAAAACTGATAATATTTTTGATCAATTATCAATTGGGGAATGGCTCTTATTTTATATAAGTTTGACTCAGTTCTCTATATGTTTGAGAAATGAGGCCTTTATCAGAGAAACTTGCCTCAAAAAACTTTTCACTGTTACTATTATTAATTGTATTTCCCTCCATCCTATTCCCCCATCCCGTTTATTCTATTCTCCCTCTCCTTTCACCCTGTCCTTCCTCAAAAGCGTTTTGCTTCTGACTTTCCCCTCCCCCAGTCTGCACTTCTTTCTATCACCTCCCCTTCTCTTATCTCTTTCCCTTCCTACTTTCGTGTAGAAAATTTTTATATACAACTGAGTGTGTATGTTATTCCCTCTTTAAGCCAATTCTGATGAAAGTAAGGTTCACTCACTCCCCTTTACCTTCTCCCCTCTTCCCCTCCACTCTAAAAGCTTTTTCTTGCCTCTTTTATGGGAGATAATTTACTCCATTCTACCTCTCCCTTTCACTTTCTCCGCATGTTTTTTCTCTCTCCTTAAATTTATTTTTTAGATATCATCCCTTCATATTTGACTCACTCTTGTGCCCTCTGTCTATATATGCTCCAACTACCCTAATAATGAGAAAAGTCTTGAGTTACAAATATCATCTTCCCATGCAGGAATGTAAACAGTTTAAACTTATTAAGTCCCTTATGATTTCCCTTTCCTGTTTACCTTTTTATGCGTCTCTTGAGTCTTGTATTTGAAAGTCAAATTTTCTATTCAGCTCTGGTCTTTTCATTAAGAGTGCTTGAAAATCCTCTATCTCATT